ACATTTAATGGTTGCTTTATCAAAATCACCCTCCCAAATTTAGGTGTTTGAACTAAATATAGCTTTTTATTATTTAGTTAATCGGAAGTTTGTAGTAGTAAAATCAATATGTATTAAAAAAGGGAGCCACCAATTTAGTAAAATGTGTGATAAATGTACAAAATGTTTTTTTATTTTATTAAAAAAGGGCTAATAAATTGTAAAAAGCTAATGAAAATATAAGAAACTAATAATTGTAATCATTTATCTAATCTAAAACGAAAAAAAAAATTTATAGGAAATAAAATTAATTAATTTAAAAAAAGTGTACAGAGAGTAAATTTCATGGTCAAGGTAAGTTATTCATTTATGTATTCACTGCCTAAACTGAATATTATTATGGTAACCCAGGAAATCCCTATTTAGCTAACTATTATGTGTCAAATCAATTGGCAGTTGTTGATGTGACAAAGGAAATGTTTTCTCTTTAGATTTAAGAAACGTATTGTATTGTATATTCAAGTTGGAAATCTATCAGAAATCAACAGAATTTATAGTTTTTAAGATTTAACTTAACAATTTAATTGTTGAAATTTATAAATTAAACCTGTAAATTTTTGATTTTGGGGCTAAAAAATTAGCGATTATTGACAATAATATAGTGGCATCACTGACAAACTATTGTTTTTTAAGAGTTTTTCAAAAGCTTTTTCAAAACACTGTTAAGAAAATATTATTAAAAGTTCAAATTTTCACTAGAAATATAAATTTTTTTTAAATATTTCAAATTTTCAACAAAAAATTAAAAATTTTTCATCAAAATTCAAATTTTTGTTAAGCGAATTTCATTACAAATTTAAATTGTCACTAAAACTTCAAAATTTTATTTATATATCAAATTTATAAAAAATAAAATTTTTGTTAATAAAAAGCAAATTTTCAGAAAAAAATTTAAAAAAAAAAAAAAAACTAAAATTTTTCTAAAAAATCTTAATTTCACTTAAAACTCAAGTTTTTACTAAAAATTCATATTTCCTTAAACATTCAAATTTTTACCAAAATGTAAAATTTTAACTAAAAATTCACCAAAAACTCTAAATCTAACCAGAAATTCTAATTTTCGTTACTAAACCCTTAATTTTGAAAAGTCTTAACTCTTTTCAATCTATTAAAGTTCACTGACCTTTTCTAGCAACTCTGGTGGTGCAAAATCTTAAAAGATTTTATTGCAATTTACATTAGGAAGTAAAACTTTTACTTTCATTTCTGCTTTCCAGCCAGTTAACAACTAAATCTAGTAGTTGTACACTTTCCTATGTTTTGAAAACAAAATGCAATTAACTTTAACCCGGTAATTTAACACCCTAAATCCTATTATATTTTACTGAACTACTTTAGTTATTTTTTTTTTTTCTTTTTTCTTAAAATTCTTTTGCAAATACCTTTTGTTTTCGGTTATTCTATATGATTTGTTTCTATATTATTTTGTTTATTGTTAATCTTCTTTTAAAAAATTCATTGACTCTTAATGATTTTATATGTTGAAGTATTGTTTTGTGTTTGTTTTTCTTTTCAAATGACCCACATAAAGTTTATTTACACATTTTTAAACAAATGACATCTGACGACGACAACGACGCGTAGTCAACATTTATTTGCCGCCTTGTCGCAGTTTCTGTTTTCTATGCTGCTGTCTGTGTGAGTGTGAGAGATAGTGTGATTTTATGCAGCTTTGCTCTGCATGTGGTGTCATCATCATCAGCACATAAATATTGTACCAAAAACATAAATAAATATTTGTTTTTGTATGGAAATGTAAATAACATAAACAATAATGACAACCGTTTAAAACTACAAATAGTTGCAATAAGACCATTTAAATGGACAGTGTGGCTAACTAGCTATAGATAAAATCGCCAGTTATTATAAGAAAATGCTTGAAACTATTAAAATTTATTTTACTATACAATTTGATCTTTAGTTTAAGTGTTTTGTAGTTAAAACAAAGTTGCTTACTAATTAGAATTGTACTTTTCAATTAAAAAACTCTAAATCTAATCGAAAAAAACGGTAAATTGTCAAATGCCATATGACAATAACTAATAGAAAATTCTATATCCCGTTTTTAATGTTTATAAAAAACTCTAAATCTCGTTGAAAAAAACGCTAAATTGTCATATGACATAAACTAATTGAAAATTCTAAATGCTCTCATTAAATTGTTGATAAATTCAAAGTGTTTGTACTTTGTATAATGTGTGCAAACTAAAATAATTAACAGCCCTTTTTTCTTTTTTATTTCATTTTAGTGCATAAATAAGTAAATATATTAAAAGTTTAAATTTCAATTGAAAATGTTCATTAGTTGTGGTTAAAAAAAAGTTAACTTTTTAAAGCATAAAACAATAACAATTATACACTATTGTTGATCTTTTTTTTATGGTTAATTGTGTCAAAGTTCCCACACACACATGAGATAAACAACGCAGAGAGAAGGTACAAAAGTTCAATGTCATAGAAACAGAAAAAAAACCAACAAACATCGACAAATGAAATGTATAAAATAGAAATTGTTGGGATAGGTTTTATGAATTTCATAGGGGGGGTAAAGTATATTTGTTAAACCACACATTTTGAAAAGGAAATTAAAATTGACACTATTAGAACAAAAACATAACGCAATGTTTCCAAATTTGAGAATATATATTGATTATTTTAAGATTTTTATAAGCCCTTAAAAGCTTTTACATGTTTTAGAAAATTCGTAATAAATAATTGTATAATTTTATTTAATCATCAAATTTGTTAATACTCTGGCAACTTTACTAACAACATACATCGCTTTATTTCACCTCCATTCATCTATTAAATCTTTCTATTTTAATCTATGATGATTTGTTACTTCTCCATAAACAAAACTAAATTTAACAAACGGAAGACTACATAAAAAATGGCAATTTATTCTGTTAAATATGCATAAATGATTGTCTATAAACAAAACAAGAGTGTGGGTAGGCTGTTTCATTGTTGTTTTTAACAGAGGGGGGTAAAACAAACGAGAAAAATACAACTGCAACTTTTAAACAACTAAAGCAAAAACAATGTAGGGGGGAAGTGAAAACAAATCAAATGATCATAGCTTGATTTGTTTGTTTATAATTTAAAAAGGCACTTAAAAAAAAGAAATTTATTAAAATTTATTAATAAATTTCAGTTTGCATTTGATGATATTTAAAATTTATTTTCTATTGTTTTGTAGTTAACATTTTTTCAAATTATTTTGCAAAGTCTCTTTGTTAAGTTCAAGTAGTTTCCATAATTTTTGTATAAAAACAAATAGAAATTAAAATAAATTCCCTTGCAGCAATCTCACACCTAATCAGTTTTGTTACTATCTTATCATTTAAGCAAAAAATCGTTTATATATTGTATATAAAAAAAAATATTGTATTTACAAACCTAAAACTTGGCGGATAAGATATGAAAAAAAGTCACAATGGTGAATAATAGAGAAAATTATACTTCATATAATAAAAACAAATAAAAGAATTTTAGAAAAAGTGTTAATGTTTGCAAAATAGTGAACTTAAACTGAACTAAAACTAAACTAGAAATGAAATAAATTCCAATTAGAACTAGAAAAGATTTCACCTAGAAACTAACTAGATTCCAAGTGGAACTAATCTAGAATTAAACCCGAACTAAACTAGAATTGAACTAGAACTGAACTAGAATTGAACTAGAACTGAACTTAGAACTGAACTAGAACTGAATCGAACTAGAACTGAACTAGAACTGAACTAGAACTGAACAACTACAACAACGAACAAGAACTGAACTAGAACTGAACTAGAACTGAACTAGAACTGAACTAGAACTGAACTAGAACTGAACTAGAACTGAACTAGAACTGAACTAGAACTGAACTAGAACTGAACTAGAACTGAAGAACTGAACTAGAACTGAACTAGAATGAACTAGAACTGAACTAGAACTGAACTAGAACTGAACTAGAACTGAACTAGAACTGAACTAGAACTGAACTAGAACTGAAGTAGAACTGAACTAGAACTGAACTAGAACTGAACTAGAACTGAACTAGAACTGAACTAGAACTGAACTAGAACTTAACTAGAACTGAACCAGAACTGAACTAGAACTGAACTAGAACTGAACTAGAACTGAACTAGAACTGAACTAGAACTGAACTAGAACTGAACTAGAACTGAACTAGAACTGAAGTAGAACTGAACTAGAACTGAACTAGAACTGAACTAGAACTTAACTAGAAACTGAACCAGAACTGAACTAGAACTGAACTAGAACTGAACTAGAACTGAACTAGAACTGAACTAGAACTGAACTAGAACTGAACTAGAACTGAACTAGAACTGAACTAGAACTGAACTAGAACTGAACTAGAACTGAACTAGAACTGAACTAGAACTGAAACTAGAAACTGAACTAGAACTGAACTAGAACTGAATTAGAACTGAATTAGAACTGAACTAGAACTGAACTAGAACAGAACTAGAACTGAAATAGAACTTAACTAGAACTGAACTAGTAGAGAACTAGAACTGAACTAGATCTGAACTAAACTAGAACTGAACTAGAACTAAACAAGACCTGAATTAGAAATGAACTAAATAGAACTAAAAACTGAACTAGTACAAAATAGATATTAACTAGAGCTTCAAGATTAGAAATCTTTCTATATTCAATTTATTTTATTTCAATATCAATTTTCAGAATATTTTTAATCCCCAATCATATTCTATTAAAAACAAAACAAAAATATCCTTAAACATTTTTATTACATGCATCCATTATTAACCTAAAAAACGCAACACAACAATACGATGCAAATGAAAATGGGTCAAATTGTTTTGCATTCATTTCAATTCTTGCCCACATTACAACAAAACAAAAATTTTTTACAAAACCCTAAATTTGAAACGATATTTGAATAATAAATAAATTCTTTAAAGAAAAGAAAGTAATAAAAAAAAGAAACTCACCTTGAGAATTTTTTTTCAGTTGATGCTAATTTTTGATGATGATTATCAAAATTTTGACAATGATGATGGTGTTGACAGCACACAAACACAAATTGTTGTAATTATTAAACGCACAATAAAAAAAATTCGTCTTCTTTTTTTCGATTTCTAGTACTTTGTTTTACAATTTCGTTAAATACTAAGAAAAAATTATTTTTAGTTAAATTAAATTATTATATTTTTATAATTTCAAAAGTAACACACAAAACACATTAAAATAATAATTTTGATAAAACTTTTTTGTTCAAAAGAAAAGAAAACAAGCAAAAAGGAAGTCCAGATAACAGAGCAGAAAAAAGTTGCTGCTAAAAGAATGACAAAAAAAAGAAGAGTGTAAACCAAAAGAAAAAGTCACAAGAGTAGCATATGAAAAAATTTAACTAAATTTTGTCAAAGAAACAAAAATTTGCAAAAAATATTCAATAAATGTAAAATTTTATGAATTTTTATAATAATTTTTGATAAATCTCGTCTTTTCCAACTTAATCTTCTGGTTACACTTCTTTTCTGTAATTCCAACTTCTTTTTCAGTCATTTCTTTTTTTTTTTTTTTTCTTACTCATCCACACACATTCCACTTAAAACACTCACACTCTGGTTTTTTATATTTATACGCTCGTTAGTTAATTTATTATTACTTTTAGATAGCGTTTATTAATTGTTAATCGTTTACTTTTATTTATAAATTGGTTTTTACAATTTTTACATATATTTTCTTCGAAAAAATTGTAAAAACATTTGCGCGTTTTTTCCTTGTTAACCACCTTTCTTGAACAACGAAACAAAACGAAGTGAAAATTCGCAATACTCAGAGGACTGTGCCGACAAACAATAATGCCGGCGTATGGCACTGAAAACTTCAGCGGCGATTTTACATGAGCTAAGCCGGCTTCAGTTTTCAGCACTTTTGAAATACATAAACAATTCGCATAGAGACACATGCAATACCATATATATTGAAATGTTATAACAACATCAAAACGCAGCATAATAAAAGAATATTTTTGAAAAATAATAATTTTTGTTTTATTTACAATTCTCGAAATTTTCTAAAGAAACATTTTTAACGGCGATTTTTAAATTTTATTGACGGCTAGGCTTAGTTGGTTATAAGCCGAATCGTCAAAGGAAACTGTCAAATTAACAGTGTTGTAGAAGTGTTTGTTTAAAAAATACGATAAAAATTTTTATTTTTTATTGTTTTTTTATATAGAAGTGTTTTCTTTAATTTAAAATCTTTATATATAGTATATTTAATTTCTTCTTTTGCTAGTTTCCGATAGGACTGTGTTTTCTTTAAAATTTTTTCTGTAGAAAACTATCTTCTGTACATAGTTCAAATGCTTTATTATAAAAATGTTTTTTTTATGGTTTCTTAAATAAACTTTTGTTATTTAGAAACTTTTCTATAGAAAATGTCTTTTCAGTTGTTTTTCTATTGTAAAATGTCTTATTTAAACAGTTTTCTATAATAAAATCGCTTCTTTAATGCTTCTTGTAATAATACCTTCAAAATACAACCCTGTTTTGTTTGATAAGACAGTGACCGTAGATATAAAACAGTTTGCTACAGCATTTTTGTTTTTCATTTTGAAAAGTGAAAAAATACCAAGTAGGAACGCGTCTTTTATTGTAAAAATTATTTATTATTAAAGAAATCTTATTGTCTAATAAATTTTTATAAACAACAAAGTAATAGCTGCCACGAATGAGCTACTACCGCGATTTAAATAAGAGCTCATCGAGCAAGTACAAACTATGCGTATAAACATGAAGTTATATTGTGATGAAATTATCCAGTTAAAGGAGAACTAATGGAAAAACATGAAAGCAGTGTGATTTTACGGAAAAGAGTGTTACAATTGGGCTGTTGAAAATTTTATACATCTAATACAGACTGTACAGCCGGATAGTGATATTTTGCCCGTACTACAGAGTATGTTGCCGTCAAGGGAAAGACAAGTTACAACTTCTAGGACGCTGACAACGAGTAGGACACCTCGAATATCTAGAATATCCTCAGATAGTGGGGAAAGATCTACAGGATCATCACGTAGACGTAGCTCACAATTAACAGCAGAATTTCAACGATCAAATTCTATTTAAACTCACGTAAATCGGTATGTAGTACTTCACCTATACGAAGAAGTAGCAATAGCTCAAGGGAGGAAGAAGAAGTGAGGAGCCTAATGAGGAAGAAGAAGTTGAAACTGTTGAGGAAAGCCAAACTATTGCCGAAAAGAGCCAACAGAACCAGAAGTTACAGAAAACCTCATGAAGATGAAGAAGAACAAGCAGAAGAAGAACCACTTAATATTATTTATGAAGATTCGGAGGATGACCGAAGAAGAAGATAACAATCCAGAAGAACTGACTGATGATGAAAACAATATTGAGTCTATGTATGAAAGTGTGGAAGAAATTACGGTTGCTGACAACACCATCTCAACTACTAGACGTTCCACACTTAAAAGATGTTACAAACATGGTGTTAGTCTCAACAAACACAAAACTCCAGTAAAGATAATAATTCTCCTCATAAAACTATACGTAAAAGAGGACGACCTAGAAAGAATAAAACTAATAAAAATTCATTTGATCAAGAAAATACAACAGATTCTGAAATGGAATCAACTGTAACAGACAGAGGTGATAGGGCGGCACTACATTACACACGTTCAGCAGATCAGTCAGAAACCTTACAGGAGCCAAGAAATTGTGATGTTAGACATATATCATTGAGAAATAAATCTATACCCATAACACAGGCATTTGATCTGTCTGCGGAGGACGGTAAATCTAAGGGTTTATAAAAATCATTTGATTAGATATTGCTCCTATAGAAAAGTACTTAAACACAGGAAACAACCTTTTTTACTTGTCTATAGGAACATGTTTTCTTTTTACAGATTTCTATAGAAAAGTGTCTTGATTATACAGTTTTCTATAGAAAAGTGTCTTCATTATACAGTTTTGTATAGAAAAGTGTCTTCTTTATACAGTTTTCTATACAAAAGTGTATTCTTTATACAGTTTTCTATACAAAAGTGTCTTCTTTATACAGTTTTCTATACAAAAGTGTTCTTTATACAGTTTTCTATACAAAAGTGTATTTTATACAGTTTTCTATAGAAAAGCACCTTCTTTATACAGTTTTCCATAGAAAAGTGATATTTTCTTCTTTATAATATTTTCTATAGAAATGCGATTTCGGAACATGTATTTCAAGATATTTTCTAAAATATTCTAATCTCTTTTTTTGATTTCTTTAGATTATACGGATATGACGTTAGGAAATTTCAAAGATGCTGCCTGTAGCACACCAAATTCACGCCGCAATTCATTTCGCAAACCAGCAAAACCATCTACTATAACTACCAACCAAGCAGCAACAGAATCTGAATCGGGGTCAACAACTAGTGATTGTTCTACACGTCGTCCTTCGCGTCAGTGTAAACCAAAAGATTTGGCTGAGCCAAAAATAGGAGTAAAATTAAGAAATGAAAGTAAAGCAAAATCATTGGGTAAATCCAAAGTGAAATCAATGGGTAAATCCACAAAGAAATCGGATACCAAAAAATAAAGGTTTAACATTTAGTTTCGTTTTTAATAATAACGATTTTTTTTTAATTCTATTCTTTAGACAGTTTTCTATAGAAATGCGTTTAATTTTTTAATTTTACTAACTAGTTTAAATTGTTTGTATTTAGTATTTAAATAAAAATAAAAGAAAAATACGAAATGTTGAAGATATTTTTGTTTTTAATTAAGAAATTATGGTTAAATCACTAATAAATATCGAATTCGAGAGAAAAAAAAAACCCAATTTACAAGATAAAGTTCGAATTTCTAAAATTGTGCTCGAATTTTCGTTTTCTAGTTTGAATTTAAAAAAAAGCTTAAAATTACTTAAATAAAGTTCGATTTCTTCAAAATTCCAAATATTAAAACTATTTTGGAATAGTTGCTTCCAATAAATGGCTTTATTTATGTTATTGAAAACAAAAATCAACTTATAGTTTTTGTTATTTGTAAAAGAATTCGTTTTAATTGATGCCATTATATGCTTTGTTTATTTTGTTTAAAAAAGCATAATATTATTAAATAAATTTTATTTTCTGTCCCCTAGTTTAGGTTTACGTTTAGTTTTGTTGTACAAATTCTAAATATTTACACAAGAATGTAATTATTCTTAAAAAAAAAGCCAAACTATTAATCTAATTATATTAGCAATATCATCCTATCCAACTCTATCTAAAGAGAAGACGAGATACATTATTAAACCACCTCAAATTTACCCGAACAACAATTTAAATGATCCACCGAATGTGATATGGTGGGTAATTCTTTGGTATTTTCCTTAATTTCCGTTATTATATCTTGTATTTTGTGTAGAATCTGTTGAGATTCAGGGGAATTTAAATCTTTTGCTGTTGTTGCTGCTGTTGTCGTTTGATTTAGAGGAGAAGAAGATTCTGAAGAATCTATAGTATTATTCTCAATGTTTGGGCTATACGTAGTGTTTATATTTATGGCATTTTGTTGTGTTAAGGCTTCATTGATTTGTTGTTTCAAGTGTTGTTTTTGTGGCAATTCCATACCTAAACTATTGACCAAATTATTAAGCATAGTTAAACGTTCACGCATTTGTTCACGTTCTGCCTGAAGCATGGCAGTCTGAGCGGCCTTCTCATATTCACGTTGTTTTAGTATACGTCTCTGGGTCTGATACAGAGCAATATATTCGCCTATTGTTTCGGTTTCCGATTGCAATTGCATGACTAAATGTTCTAGCCGTTGTTTTTCTTCGGTTAGGTCTGCACATTGGGTCATTAGTTGGGTAAAACGTTGTTGTAGCTTTTCAACAGCTTCCTCGGTGGCAATGCGAGGAGTTGTTGTGTGGCCAGTTGTTGGTTGGACTGGCTTTTTATGGGTTATAGGGGTTTGTTGTAGGGTCGTGTTAGTAATGTTCTCTTCGGTAGCTTCTTGACAAGATTCATGATCAGCGCGATCATGATCGGCGTGCTCATGATGATGATGATCATGGCAATCATGCTCATGTTTATGTTCTTCACTGTAATCATGTTTACTATGATCATGATTGTGATCATGTTTATGATGATCATGATCGTGATTATGTTTATGATTTTCATGATCTTGATCATGTTTTTTATTTCCTTGATCATATGACCGTGATATGATCATGATTGCCATGATCATGATCGCCATGATGATCATGATGTCCATGATCATGTTCATCATGATGCTCATGATTCATGATGA